AGCTGCACCACTAGACAAAACACCATTATCTATTTGAACACTTGTCTTAGAGTAGTGCAAATTAGTCGGAAACTTGCATTGTGAATTTAATTGCTCACTTTTGGAAATGCAAAGGAACTCAAAGAATAAAATGCAACTATAACCGTTAACCAATAATATTCAGAGCATTTCTGAAGTCAATAAAACACTTTAAAGAAGTTTTTTATAGTGTATGATACTCGATTGCTGATTATTACCGACTCTTCAAAGGATCTATTTCCTATTTTAGAAGTATTGCTTGTGGACCTGGTGGAAAAAGCATTTAGCACCAAGGTTTCATCTAAGGAACTATAACTGTTGGTGATAGTGAGAAAAGACTCTAGTTTATGAACACTAGGCTTTACTAAAGCTAAAAGATAAATGTTATTCTAATTCAGCATCTCAAGGGTCAAACACAGACGGTACATATAAAATATCCTCAGTCATATTTCCTGCAAATCCGACTCTGTCAACAAATACACCATCCTAAGACTCAAAATCATTAAGGCCATACGTTATTCGAGATATGACGACGATACCGTTATCATCTGTGAAGACGTTCAATAGGTAAAGAAGCTACTCTAACATTTCAGCAGTGTGGACCACAACATTAAGTCGAAAGCGAAATAAGGAGAAAAACAACAGCTGAATTTTCTCTACCTCCACTTGATATATCAAAAAAACGGTATAAAAGAGATGGAGTAGTTAGTATTTAAGCTTTAACTTTTCCTGCCCAATCAACTTCAAGAGAGACTTAGTGAGGACGTTATTTTCGAGAGCAGCGAGATTGTCCTTCCAAGAAAAACCGTGAGAAGAACTTCAGACTGGCGAGTGATTTCTATACAACAACGATTATCCTATGAACTTCGTGTAGTCATGTTGCAAAAGCAAAGAGGGAGAGAATGGTAAACACTTCAAAAGAAACCAGTGTTTCTTATTTTGGCTTTCACAGGAGATAATATCGTGATAAGAATCAATAGATGAATTAAGGGCACAATATCCAAGATATATCTGACTGAAACTTTACTCGGTGTATCAAATAGCATGTACAGTCACGCTACCCAAATTAGACAAACTTCCCAATCTTGTTGACTCCGAATACAGTTATCACTTCATAAGTGCATGCGGAAGCAAGTACATAAGAAGAACGGAAAAGCGGTTTTCTATAACGATTACCAAGCACATCCATTAGGAGTCTATATTTGAGAGATTTATCCTCATTTATTTGATATGGAACGCCAATTATATGCACTGAAGTCTTTCGTAGCAGTTAACAGACTAAAGACTTCGCGCTTACTTCGACTTCCTGAAGGTATCATTATCCGATGAATTCAGTCGGAATTATGTGTTAAAAAGGTAACCAGGGGCTTTCCACCCTTCAAAGAACATTTTAATGCCTTTATTTCATGCTTATCTCCAACCAAATTCATAATGACTATCTTCTCATTCTTACTGTGATTACTATTTTTACGAAAACTCATCTCACCCACTTATCGTATGGTTAAAAATCTTCTCTTGTTTCTTCCCAATCCTGTCTAGTTTTGTTGAACCTTAATGCTCTAACCGCCTTTGCATTTTGCATTTCAATGTTTTTTTCTGATCCCTAATATTTTAACTTGTATCATCAGACTCTACATATAAGGTACGTTAATAGTTGTTGCAACGATCATTCTCAAAGTTACCATCTGACAACACTGTCAGTAAAAACAACATAATTCATATCTATAATGATTGATATATATTATACATGAAAACAAATTAGTAAGGTGAACAGTATGGTTAAAAATTAGAAGCACTTTTTCGCAGAAACGTTTCTATTTCCCATCGATTTATTTACTAATTAATAAGGTTTGAATTTTGTTCTTATTGTAGCTACTTTTTAATGAGTATACTACTGAATAATATAAGTAGTTAGAAACCGCATATAAAGTGGGAAGTAAGTTTTATTTATGAGATCAGAATGATGTAAAAATTATTTTATAGTTCCTGCTTAATTGATAAGCAGTAACTTAAGTACTTTTTAGGTTACCTTGGACAAGACTGGTTCTAAATTGGAAAGAAACTGTTTTTCATCTTATTGAAACCGTTGTCACATATCCGGTAGAACATAGTATTCAGTGTGCATGATACTCATTCATTTGTATAAACCAGTAGTAAATTACGTAGGAAATTACGTTTGACACACCATTTACTATCGACAGTACAGATTTCGATGAAAACACGACATCGTAGGTAGATAGTGAGAATCTCTACACTCTGAAGAGTATCATCATTCAATAATTAATGCGCGAAACCCTGAGAAAGAGTTCACTTTCTCAAATATCAATTTTATATACATTGCAAACATTGCAGTAAAAAATCGGGAGACTAAAATCAACCCGCATAAATTGTTGATTATTAGAACATCACTATGTAGATTTTAAATAAATAATGCCACCAATACCAAAGATTGTCTATCATATTATTGTTCGACCTATGGGGGCTAGGAGAAAAATGAGGCTTCAGTAGCACAACACCATTCCACTCTCTTCTCGGAAGTCTATTAAACCTCGCCCTACCACTGCCCACAAGCTTTCATTTCTTCCTTCTTCTTCCTTGATCTCCTCCATGTCACCCTCACCTCGCACGACCAACTCGTCGTCTCCTATTTGGATGCCACTCGACGGCCTAGCCTGGCGTGTGTGTGTGTATGTGTGTGTGTGTGATCTCCCCGAATGGTCTTCTCAGTGTATGTCCAGTCCAATCCACCTTCAATTTCTTCTTCCTCTCATTTGTTGGGCAATGGGTTCTTGTTTGGTTCGTTGCCAGCCAGCCAGCCAGCTAGCCAGAGTTCCTTGTTGATTATTCTTATTATTCTGGCAATCCATCTGATCTTCAGTGTCACTATCGAGTGAGCGTAGATGGCAGCTGTTGATGAATGTCTGTAGTTTCTTGGAAATGGTTTTCATGACCATCACATAGAAGCACAGACGACTGGATTAGTGTTGAAAATCTGGAACTTGTTCACGCTTTATGCTGAGTTCAGTGCGGTACGGTGCAGTGCAGTGAAGCAAAAAACACTGACTTTAACAGCTGAGTAACTAAGTTAATGGTTCCAACTAAAATCGCCTCCTCAGGATGCTACAAACATTCACCTGTTAAAAGTCAAATTGAAAACATGTTGCTTTCAACCCCAAAATGTTGTCTATTGAGTCACGAACGCCATTGTTTGTTGACTAACCACCAGACTTTTTAATATAATGCTAAGTATTATCACTGTTGCCTGAAATTTCGTTGATTGAAGTGGTTTGGACATGTGTTCCACATGCTAAGCCACCGTCTACCTCAACCTATAATATTAGCTGAAGTAGGATTTGCTTGGAAGAAGGCTCAGAGTGGCCAGACCAAGATATAGCACTAGTTCATGAAGTCTCTGACTGCTAGTTTGTATCACGTCGAGAGGTGTAGACTGTGTCGTTGGAGTCTTCGAGAAAATAAGAACCAACTCTTAGAGATCCTTCTTGATATGGCTGAGAACAGGTTACAATGACGTAGATACATTCACTCCTTGCATTTTTTAAAGTTTGAAAATTTTTAATGACCATTTTTTCTCAGATTCTCTCTCCTCCCGTACACTTTCATCTACTTTTATACTACTCATCTTCTGTCCAGTTGTTTGGCAGGTTGCAGTGATACACTTTAGTGCGATGTTCTACATTAAATTGTCTGCCTATCTGTGGACCAACTTCATTTCTTGTTTCTTCATATTACGTACGGGATAACTATGCAGATAAGTAGATATCTTATCTAGATTACACATATGATAGATAAACACAGTTATAGTATTCAAGGGGTGTGGGAGGGAAAGGGATTTGTAATATTGTTGTCAACAGTAATAAACAGTAGGATGAGTAATTTGCAAATGATTTGCAAATTACACGGTCCAATTTGATATTTCTCACAGCTGAGTAGTTTTTCAGCTGTCCGACTGTGATGTTAACAGGCTCTAAGTTGGAAACCTCCCAAAGGAGACCACAAGGGGGGATCTTCGACATAAGTGTCATGAACTAGTAAAAGATACTGTTACTGAACAGACTGAGTGGTTTTTAACCAGTAGTGTATTTAGTTAATAATAAACAGAATCGTAATCTTTAGCGAAGCAAGGACAACAAGTTTTACAGAGTAAGATGAATTCATAGTAATCCGTCTTTTTTCTCAACAGTATACCAGTTGGCAACTGAGAGTTACAAATGAAAATTTTTAATTTTATCAGTAATTTTCTTAAGGTGAACTTCTGAATGTGTACCAGTTCTTTCCTTGTTGTTTCTCTATCAACGAATAACCTTCCTCTTTGTGATTTAGGTGTGCAGATTACCCCTGCCGTAAATATCGCACTATTTTTTCATAGCCTGTACGTAGATTAATTGAAGGAGACGAAATACCATGGAAACACCGTATTATACAAAACTTATTGATATCACTTTCTTAGAATACATGGAGAGGTTCAATTATATAAGGCGATTATGTTAGTCAGTCAGTCACTTAATCAACTATGGCCTAATATTCCTTCAGGTGGAGTTTACAGCAGAGTCCCTCTTCTGATTGAAGGGTTTTCGCTTATCACAATAGAACCTCTGTATCTTAATTCTTTATAGCTTTCATCAAAACAGCATTAAAGTGGTAAGGACTGAAGTCACTTATCAATGACAGTACAGATGTAACACAGTAATTTCCAAAATAATGCGAGCAATAAAACATCAACAGTTTTCTAAAACTAATAAGTGAATTTTTAGGGCTAGTCAACAAATTCCACTGTAATTATTTAGGAGTGGAGTGCTCAACACTAATGTGAGCGATCTCTGGCTTCAAAAAGATCATGTACGTGGGAAGTAAAGATTGTTAGTCTTCACTGAAAAGCTTTGTATGAGGAAATTTTTCTAGGAAATCTAACCATCTGTTTAATAGTAAGTGACTACAGATTTACTGTTCTTGCTATTTTCAAGGTCAATGAAGAATGATGAATCCAGTTAATTGGTCCAATTTCGATCAGTCAAATTTGTTTACAGAACCTTCTGAGAATTCTTTCGGTCCACTGTTCGATGATTCCGGTGATATGCTAAAATCATTGCCTATGTATCAATATAATCATGAAATTATTGAGAATCAGTTTAATTCAGGTGATATTCATTTTATACATGACCAATTCAAACAACAGAACAATATTTTCAACTTTTCAACCAAGAATGTTCAACCTCCAAATGTAACTAAAAGACATCAAAAATGTATTTCGTCTGAAAGTGTTGATTTAAAGTTTACTGAATCTTCTTCAGTAGTCACAAATGGTGTCAGACGCCGTGGTCCTAAAAAGAAACCTGATTCACAAGAACGTGTCATCAGAATGAAGATGAGACGAGCACGTGCTAATGCTCGTGAACGTAGCCGAATGCATGGACTGAACTCAGCATTAGATGCTTTACGACAACATATACCATCTGCGTTAGTGAGTGGACATATTTCGTTTGATCATGATAAGGAAGAACTCATACAAATCAATACCACTGTTAAAAACCATAATACTAGTAGTAGTCAACAACAGAATGGAAAAGACAGGGTATCTTGGAAGAATCAACAGTCGAATAACTCAGGAAATGAGATCAGCAGTAGTTACAATAACAATATTACTAATTTGCATCAATTCGGTCAAAAATTGAGCAAAATTGAGACGCTTCGTTTAGCTTGTAATTACATTGGTCTACTAGCTTCGATACTGAATGATATACACTTTGAATCGATAACAGATATCATAAAATACTTATGTCATGGCTTATCACAGATAACAACCAATCAGATTGCAGCGGCTTTGCAGAGCGATCCTTCTCGGTTAATGAAGCATTATACATTTGGTAGTGATGAGAAGAAATCACCAACTGAGACCATCATATCACCATCCTCAACATCATCAACATTAGAAACAAACAAATGGATGCATTATCCGAAAACTGATGACAACGTTAATCAGATGGAAAAACTTCAAAGGAGCATTATGGGGTCAACTTTATTAGGAAATAAATTGACCGATAAACAGATAGTAAATTGTTCAGACTGTCAAGAAGATATTTCTTCATTTGCCACCCCATCAAGCAGTTGTGATAAATCAGTTTTAAATATTTGTCATTCTATGGAAATTTGTTCGTCGAACTGCACCGAAATAATAAAACCGCAAAATTATCTTCCTAATATTAAATCATGCGAACTTGAAAATACTTATAATTATGTTCTCTATGATGAAATGGATGAATATGCCTTAAGACTTCCATATTTTCCTATTAATTACGGTGTTCATACCGGAGACAATCAACTGTGTGAAACGAATGACGTTGAAAATTGGGTTAGTAAAACAAAATTATCATTACGTGATAATCACCAGAAATATTTTACTCCTTATTCTGATCTTAATAATGATAACAACAACGACCAAAGTTTAACAGTCGACTCATCGCAGCTAGATTTAAATCCAAGCTTAGACCTCAAACCTTATTTATATTGTTATAGAGAAAGTCAATATCATGACTCAAATAGAATGATGGATAATCCTACTGATACTGCTACTGATAACTATGGTACGGATTATGATGTGACAATGAAAATAGTGAATGCAGATGCTAAAATTGGAAGTCACTGAAAATGAACATTGATTACTGATAATTGGTAACTATTAGATATGTGGTGATCACGTGTGACAATTATTCGCTCAGTTCATGACGGAAACCGTTATTAATTATTTACAAATTTGCTTTTCTCTTAACATTTGACTTTAATTTCAGTTGTGAGGATTTTTCTGACGATGACCAGTGCTTTTTTGAAATTAAAAAATAAATGAAATATTACACTAACTCATCCTGACATGATAATCCTTGATTTGATGCACTTTAGTGTACTTCTAAAATTATTGTTTGTCATTTTGGGGCCCAGTGAAAAATGGGGCTTCAGTAGCACAACACCATTCCACTCTCTTCTCGGAAGTCTATTAAACCTCGCCCTACCACTGCCCACAAGCTTTCATTTCTTCCTTCTTCTTCCTTGATCTCCTCCATGTCACCCTCACCTCGCACGACCAACTCGTCGTCTCCTATTTGGATGCCACTCGACGGCCTAGCCTGGCGTGTGTGTGTGTATGTGTGTGTGTGTGATCTCCCCGAATGGTCTTCTCAGTGTATGTCCAGTCCAATCCACCTTCAATTTCTTCTTCCTCTCATTTGTTGGGCAATGGGTTCTTGTTTGGTTCGTTGCCAGCCAGCCAGCCAGCTAGCCAGAGTTCCTTGTTGATTATTCTTATTATTCTGGCAATCCATCTGATCTTCAGTGTCACTATCGAGTGAGCGTAGATGGCAGCTGTTGATGAATGTCTGTAGTTTCTTGGAAATGGTTTTCATGACCATCACATAGAAGCACAGACGACTGGATTAGTGTTGAAAATCTGGAACTTGTTCACGCTTTATGCTGAGTTCAGTGCGGTACGGTGCCGTGTGGTACGGTGCGGTACGGTGCAGTGAAGTGCAGTGCAGTGCAGTAGATCTCCACACTAATTTAAGATTAATGAAGGAAGGCCTGTCTCTCAGTCTTTCCGATCCTGAATTTGACGTCCTCATCTGTGCCTGTGCCGCCACCTATAGTTGAAACGATGCTGCCTAGGTAGGTGAAAAAGTTGACTCCATTTAGGTTTAACATGTTCATGGTAATTAGTGCCTGTTGTTGTCGTTGTTGGTTGATTGGTTGGTTGGGTGTCTTCATCACATCCACCTCTCTCTTCTCTACCTTCCACCTGAAGGAAGTCCCGTCCTCCCTGCATCGCCTCGCCTCTTCTGCCAACTCGTTGGTTTCCACATGTAGATCATCGAGTTTGTGCGACACGACATAAGACGTAAATCATCGTTGGCATCGAAATCCAAATTTTCTAGGCTCTTTTGATGGGTTCAGCCACTACATGCCTATCTTCTCGCTTCGCATAGCTTGTTGTATGATCCAGTTCAGTCCAGCAGAATAAAATCGGAAAGATCATCAGCATTCAAGAATTCAGGTTTTGTTGGAGTGCTTGCTTTTACTGGTAATTCTGTGGCTGGGCTACCGGAAATATTTCTGGACGAGTTGCAGGTGGTGGTGGTAGTGATGGTGTTGGTGGTCGATTCAATAGTTTTCTGAAGTCATCAGTCCATCGTTTCCTTTCTTTCTCCTCTCTACTAACCAACCTTCCTTCACTATCTTTCATTCGTTCCATCTGAGTTGATCTCTACCCACATAATATTTTGGTTATTTCACACACGGTTGTCAGGCCTCTCCTACCAGCATCCTGCAGTCTGTTCTGCTCCACTAACCAGTGTGTCGTGGAAGTGTCTTTTGTCTTCTTCTTCTTCTTCTCCTTCTTCTTCACTTCCTTCTTCAGTGTAGTGTTTCATATGTTGTGTTCAGCTCCTCTTTTCGTTGTTTATTTCTGCACCGTACTCCACTGCACTGCAATTCACTGCAATGCAATGCAATGCAATGCAATGGAATGCACTGCTCTGGTTCATGTTCAGCTTCACCACCACCATCTTCCTCTCCCTCCTCTATCAGCTTCCATGTGTCCCTCAACATCCATTTCTTGTCTCCCTCCTTCTTCGTCATTCCCAACACGGTTATGCAGGTTTCCTTCCACACCTCTTCAAAACGATTCCAGTGTTCTCCCATGCAGCTTTATTCACGGATGTTGCTCAATATCTTCCATCTTATCCTGATGACTGACTGACTGGCTGGCCCCCTGGCTGGCTGGCTGATTGACGTGAAGCCATCCTTTGTAGTTTCATCCTTCAGTCCAGTTTCTGTTCTGGGTTGACGTTGGACTTCAACTCTCTTCTATCATCACCAGCTTCTTTCAAGGCTTTCAACTTGATTTTGTGGACAGGCTCCTTGCACTAGATAATCGTGTGTGTGTGTGTGTGTGTGTGTGTGTGTGGCGTGAACCGACATCTGCTTCCCTTCTTCATCCGATCTGGTGTCCAGTAGGCTGCATCTCCATCTCCACTTTCTTCACATTCACATGAAGTCGTTCTGATGCTTAGTGTAGTGTGTCCCGGTGTCTGGTGAAATCAGATGCATGTCGCTACCTTGTGAATATCCTTGTGTTTGTACACACTGCATCGACTCCAGTCACCAAATCGTTGAATGCACAGAAGTCTGCGAATACTTCTCCATTCTCATTCATCATTTCACTGAGTGCTTCTCGACCCATGATCAGTTCTCTTCCTGTGTTGTCCACTCCCAGTTTAGCATTCATCTCACCTCACCTCACCTCACCCCACCCCACCCATTAGAATGGATTTTGATGTCACCAACTGGAGTATGGTCTTGTTCAGTGCTGATTGTAGTTGTCTATGGAATTCCTCCTTCTTCTCTTCATCCGCATTATTCGTAAGTGCACAGAGTAGCATTGTATGATTTTGAATTTCCCTCCTCTTGATTTGAATCTTGCTGTCATCATCCTGATCCTGGAGGAGGACATTGGTTCCCATCATCTGAGAGCCTTTCATGCTCTTTGAAACATCATGATAGCCACTGGAAAACTCAGTGTGCTGTGCTGGTGATTGTTGTGTGTTTTGATAATATCTGAGTAGATTACTGAGTCGTCTCCAGTTGACAGTTTGGAGAGTCCACTTCCATTCCATCTGCTTTCAGTGATTCCTAGCCTGGTATTTCCATGCTATGCCTTCTCATCTCGTTTGCAATCTGGTCAGTCTTGCTAGGTCCATATATGATGCGGACATTTCGTGTACCAATGTTTACTTTCGCTTCCATCTAGAGAATAGGAGATGAATTGGCTGATTGGCTTCCTGAAGGCTTTCACCAACTGGCGTCATTTCACCTCTCCGATTCCAGGGAGGAATAAGTTAATTTTTATTTTATGTGCTTTGAAGTTTCTTTAGCGGTTGGGTTGGTTTTCCGTGGTAGGGTTGCTATCCGTATGCCCAACCTTTCCTCCTTATCTGGGCTTCTTACCGGCTAGTAGCTTCTTAACTAGGCAATCAGACTTGGTTATTTTAATTTACTATTTTTTGCTAACTAGTAGCTTGACTCTATTTTGCAAATTATTTGTTTATTGCCTAAGTTTTTTTTGAGTGACCTTTTCTGCTTAGCGTTATGTGGACAAGAGCTTGGCAATTTGATAGCCTCTTTTAATGAAACGTAAATTCTAAAATTCATTCAGTGTTAGTTAAAAAATTTACATCCTACTGCAGGATGCTAAAGTTAGTCAAACAAGGTATAGCCTGTTGGATGTACGACTTTTCCCACCCATATCAGAGGTTCGAGTATTAAAATTTAGTTTAATCTGCAGACGAAGAGGATTGCATAAACGGTTTTTCATAAGTCTTAATTTTCTCTGCTAACCATCTATAATACCTGATGTAAAGTGATACATTGATAAACTACCGGACAATTCACTTCAGTTTCCATCATTTATGATCGCTCAGTTCCTCAGAAATAAAAAAGCGGTAAGAAAGTTGAAGTTTGATAATAAATTCATTGGTATGTAAGTATAAGTCCTGGTTAATTCCGGTGTTTCTGAAATGATTTTCTCTATAAATTTTAGGAAACCAAGCAGTCTGATATTTGCATTTATGATCCTTTGTCTTTCTTCAAAACTCCGTTATGTTGTTTGTGGAAGCATCAAAGGTTTCATATTTTTCTGAAGGATCCAGACATTAGTAAAGTATATCATAACAGGACCAATATGACTGACATTGATAAGTAATAATCAAATGACTTTCATCTTACTGTCAACTACCATGTTAGATAAATCGCACTTCTTTTTTGGAAATCTAAAATAATGATACCACCTTTGTGATTCCAGAGGAAAACATTATTGAATTTCGTTTGGAATGATAAGAAATCTATGTGACTATAAGATACATCAATGTTCCACAGGCAATTTACGTACAGCTTTGTGAATTGTTCATTGTAGGTTATTTGCAGATATTAGAATTGAGCTAAAATAAGACTAACATTGTGCTTCTGAGCAATGACGTTTATCATTTCACCTCCCTATTTTTAGTATTCTGTAGGGTTGATGCAACAATAACCTTCATTTTTACTGGAAAACCTACAAATAATTTCAGTTTAGAAGAAAAAAGTAGTGAACCGTATCACTACACAACCGTCGTACATGTATGATTTTGGAGCTAAAACCTGTGAATCACCTCATTTGTATGGATGGATAAGGAAATGCTGTTTGATTGCGAATAAGTATGTATGTTACTGAAAGCATAGTAAAATATTTCTTTGACAGAATAGACCTTCAATAAAAAATGAAATAATTTTAGGAAACCTGAGAAACAATATCAGAAATTGAATATACAATTTTTTGTTGAAGATAATTATAAATTCCCAAATGAAAATCGGTATACTGTACAACATCTACTCTGCTACTTATGGGAGTATAGATCAGTAGTATATAACCTTGGACCGTGGTTTCATGCTTAGTGGCAATCTACAACCCAGTTTATCTGCAACCATGAGGAAACTGGTGTTCCTTAATTGATTCAAATGTGAGCATTATTGGAAAATACACTGCTGATATACCTACTACCCATCATTTAAGGCAAGTGGATATCCAAACAATCTTTTAGGAAAGAACAGTTCTTGAACACATTGCCATATATACTATCTCACTTCAGTTCTGAACAATAAAATTTAGTAACAGTTAGACAGAGGCAGAATGTTTGGCAGAAGATAGGCGAATACAAAGTCAAATCAGAGATTGAACTAGTCTTCAAACAACATTGATAAAATTTAAGAAACAGACAATAACACCTGAAGTTTCACATACATATAAGCATTTTTCTGGTGGGAAAAATTTATCTCA